AATAACTACTATTATTTTTGTATTTAATCATTTAGAAGTGATATATAATTGTCCATGAAGGCTGGAAATGAAAAACTCATTGAGATGTGCAGAATTATTAGGCAGGTTTTCTTTTATGAAATTAAATGAGCCAAAAAAGAGATTTAACTCAGACTGAGAAGTCAAAAATGATTAAATCCCCATGAGAAATATTAAAAACTCATTCTGAAGTGTGAAATACATGAAGACTATTTTTTATAGGCGTTATGGACAGATACGTTGAAAGTGACTCTTGAAGGACCAGCACCACATCCTCTTGTACCACTGTTAGAAGTACGTTTTAGGAGCTCATTTTTGTCAGTCTCTGCAAGACACAGTTCTCAGGATAGGAGATGGACTAAAAATGAACTCCCAAAACTTACTAATCATTAAATAAAATATTTTAAATATATATGAAATGTTACATATTCAATTCTTTTATTTTTTAAAGTTTAGTATTTTAAACATTCTAATATGCATATGTGATGTTCAATAACGATGAATGATTATGCCTAGTATAAATATGAATAAACGCCCCCCTCTGAAGTGCAGTAAATCTGCGCTGCACTCTGATTGGCTGCGCTGCTCACCTGAGCTCCTCAGAGATGAAGATGATTTGTCGCTCCATGACAGTGGCGGCGAACACCATCAGCACCTCGTCATCGTTCAGGCAGCGGAAGAGCGTGCGGAAGTCAACATGTTCGAGCCAGGACTCGGCCGGCCGTGTCAGACTGATGATCTGAGATCAGAGGTGTTATCAGATCTGAGTCGTTAGCGTTCACACAGAATGAGAGCGACACACACCTCTGTGCCGGCGTCCGGGATGAAGCTGCTGATGCTGACGGTGTTTCCGGGCGAGGGCAGCGGCGCCTCCCGCAGGCTCTGCATGAACGGATAGATCATGGCTTTAGAGATCTGCCGCCGCTTCTCCACCTCGTCGAAGATCTGCACAAACACACAGGAGTCAGTGCTGAGGAGTGTGTGTGTGAGAGTGTGCACAAGAGTGCACGCAAGAGTGCGCGAGAGTGAGTGCGTGTAAAGGCGTAAGAGTGTGTGAGAGTAAGTGTGTGAGAGTGTGTGTGAGCATGCACGAGTGTGCACACAAGAGTGCGTGAGAGAGAGTGAGTGTGTGTGTGTAAGCGTAAGAGTGTGTGTGTGAGTGTGCACGCAAGAGTGCGCGAGAGAGTGCATGTGTGTGAGCGTAAGAGTGTGTGTGAGCGTGTGCGTGTGAGTGTGTGTGAGAGAGTGCACAAGAGTGTGCACGCAAGAGTGCGCAAGAGAGAATGAGTGTGTGTGTGAGTGTGTGCATGAGAGTGTGTGTG